TTGTGTTTCAAGAGTGTGTATGAGTATTAAGTGAGAAGACATTTATTTTCCCATTCTATACAATTAAATAATATATAAATTTAATAAATCAAATAAAAGCATTTCTTATTCTCCAGCCAGCAATTCCACCTTCTCTTTGAAGACCTGTAAGAGATACCATTATTATTTTTTTGAAGGGTTTTGAGGGGCAAATGGAAGCCAAGGCCTTGAATGGGATCATCTCCCGGGATCTGGGGATTCTCCCAGTCATTCCGCCTCAGCCATGGGGTGGCCCCAAGGGATTCACGGGGGGGGGGGGGGGAGGTTTCCCATCAGACAACTGCTGAATTAAGTAGGTGAAAATTGTGGTAGTTCTTTTTGATTGGGGTTTTTTAATCTGGCCTGCTTAAATCAGGGACACCTTAAAGTGTTTGGATGCGATGCCCCCCCAGACATTTGAGGGGGTAGAAAAGAGCTCTTGAGGCAGACTGGAGGGGGGCCCTGAGGGAAAAGAGAGGGAGGCCTAATTCAGAGTCAGACTGAGAGAAAGGAGTCAGGTGTGTCCTTGGGAGCCACAAAGACCCCCAATAGTGGTGCTTCCCTAGGGGGACCTCTTTCCCCTCCCCCCAGCCAGCAAAGAGGTTCCTCCCACTACACAAGGACTGCCTTTTCCTGCTTCACTGGGAGGGTGGTGGTCAGAAGGAGAGGGGTCTTGCAACCTCCTGCCCCTCCCTCACCCTTCAGCCTTTTCCCCAATGTCTCTCTGGTAGAGGGCTCGCAGTCCCTTTCTCCCCCCCCCCCCGGCTGCCCTCCCCAAGTGTGGCCCTGCTCCTTTTTCAGTTGGGCTGCCTGAATCCGAGACACTTCAACGCCTTTAGACATAATGGGGCCCCCAAGAGTCTCGAGGGGGCTGGAAAAGGATTCTGGAGGGGGGCCCTGAGGGAGAAGAGGGGCCCCGAAGGAGGCCTCATCCAGAGTCTGACCAAGAAAAAGAAGTCGAGGCCATCTCCGAGGAGCCACGAAGAAGTCCGATGGCGGGTCTTGCTTCAGAATCATGTCTCTCTTTCTCTCAACGGTCTTTCCCGCCTTTTCCCACCTCGCTGTCTGAGGGAATCGCACTGGGCGGGGCATGGTCACAAGGGAGGGGGGAGGGGAGGAGCCTTGCAAAGTCCTGCTCCCCTTGTCCTGCAACCTTTCCTCCAACGCCTCTCCTGGGGGCCCAACCCCCCTTCTTGGGGGGAGTTCTCCTTCTCCCCCCCTTCCCTTCGAGGGATTCTCGCCAGCTGACCCACCAGCAGCAACAGGGGGACTTTGGAGTTGGCTTGCCAGGAATAGGTTGCGCCAATGAGAATCCTCCCTTCTGTTGAGTCATCTGTCTCCGGGCAGAATGTCTCTTGATTTCTCCCTGTCGGAGAAAGCTTTTGGAGCCCCAGAAGTGCTTTTTTTCAGGAGGCAACTGGACTTTCTTTGAAGAAAAGCTTATTCAGCTCTGACTGGATGGTGGGGAATAGTCAGAGATGAAGAAGCTTCTTGGATGAGAAGCAAAACGTCTTCAAAGGAAAAAAAAACCCAGAAGTCCTTTGAAGCAGAAACTGAGGAACTGGGACTGGGGTGGGGGAGTCTTACCCTCATTATGTGCAGCCAAAGCTGAAGGGGACCTTGGAACTGTGAGTGATTCTGATTCTTATATTATTTCTATCTTGTAGGTAGTGGCTGTCCTTTCCCCCTCCTTAATTACAAAATTATTACAAATTATATAATTACTGAAGCTGGATTGATTCATGATTTGAGTCTGCATTCTCATTTCTTAGGGAAATATTGATGTATCGCCTGGGATTTTTATATGGATAGGTATAAAAAATGATCTGGGTGAAATCTGTCACTTCAGGCAGGCTTTTATGGGATGTTTGGATGGAAATAGGGATTGCTGCTCCTGGCTTCTTCATCTGGTCTGGAAGGTGAAGGAGGAGAAGACGAAAAGGATGTGGTCCTGACAACTCTGATCACAGTTTTATGAGGATGTGGTTACAAAAGAGGGAAACATCAGCAGGCATCAAGCTCTCAAAATATATCAAAAGCACCACAAGATGTCACGTTCTGCCAGAGGTTGTGTGTGTGTTTGTGTGAGAGAGAGGGGGGGGGAGAGGGAGGGAAAGAGAATGGGAGAGAGTTAGGGAGGGAGAGAAAGAGAGAGGGAGAGAGAGAACAAGTGGGAAAGAGAGGCAGAGAAAGAGAGACAGACAGACAGAAGGGAGGGAGAGAGGGAAAGAGAAAGAAAGTGAAAAAAAGTGAGAGGAAGAGGGAGAGACCAAGAGAGAAAGCTAGTGGGAGAGGGAGAGAGAGAGAGAGAGAGAGAGAGAGAGAGAGAGAGAGAGAGAGAGAGAGAGTTACAGAGAGAGGAAGCAAGAAAGGGAGAGGAAAAGCAAGAGGGAGACAGAGGCCTAGCGAGACACACAGACAGACGGAGGGAGGGAGGGAGCGAAAGGGAAAGAGAGAGAGACCGAGAGGGAGGGAAAGAGAAATGGAGAGGAAGAGAGCGCGGAAAGAAGGGGGGACAGAGAATCGATTGGCTCCCCAAAGGACGGAATCCCTATCCTCTCCGCGCTCGATTCCTTCTGCGTGGTCCGGAGACTGCCGCCTGTGAGTTCCTCCCTGGGAATCTGGGGGCAGGGGGGAGGGCAAGGGGGGAGGTCTAGTGACTCAGATCTTCCCCAGGGAGGGAGAAACAGACTCCGAATCCCGAGACTTGGAGGGAGCGGGGAATCCACCCCATAACTGCTCTGGGCTGTGCATGTAGAAGATCTAACAACGGGGGAGGGGAGAAAGTTGGGGGGGAGGGGAGAGGAAGCCTAAAGGGACCACTTGCTCACGTCTCCTTCAGATTCAGCTTCCAAGACGGGAAGGATCTTCGGAGAGCCAGCGGAGACCAGTTGCCAGGCGGTGCCAGTGGCTGAGAGATTCCTGGTGAGCGTGGCAGAGGAAAAGAAGCAGGAATAGAATGAAAGGGACCTTGAAGTTCTTCTAGTCCGACCCTCTGCTCAGAAAGGGCCCCAGGTGAGAGATGCTTCTTTTGGGAAATGTGAAGGGATCTTTGCGTGCTTGAATTCTTAAATGCCTTCCTGATAAGAGTTTTGGGTGATTGATAATGCAAGTAGATCATTTAAAGAGCCTCATTAAAGAAATTGCCCTTGCATTCTTCCAAAGAGTATCTCATTTGGAGCAATTCTCCCATTGGCCTCCATCCATCCCCACCGATGGACAGGAGGGTTTGGCCACTTTGTGGAAAGAACATAAAATCTAGATCCTCTCATGTCTCGTCCTCTTCAGCCCTCTCCTTTGCTTCTATTTCACGTTCTGAGGTCCTTCCAGGAATGGGGACTAATTGGGTGGATCCCACAAATCTTTCTCCTGAACTCTGAGAGGGATCCCCAAGGATAAAAGCCAATGTCAGGGGATCTCATTACATGAGGGAAGACCATTGTGCTGGACTGAAGATTTTCTGGAAACATTGTCGTTATCCTTAATTCTCTGTGTCTTCTCGTGTCTTTTTCACTGGATTTAGTAGAAGGTGACCCAATAAAAAAAGTAATAACTCCCTCTTCAAGCTAGAAGACTTAAGGTGCCCAAAGGAATTCCCTCCATGATGAGAGATTTTTGTTCTCAATGAGGCAGAAGAGAGCAACCTGTATTTTGGCCTTAAGAGATAATTTTGACTAAATTCCTACACAGATCCCTGCTGGACCATTTCTAACACCGCCTGTCCTTGCAGGTATGTTCCTGGATTGCTAGAATTTCACAAATTGCTCTTCCATGATGGTTTCAAGCTGCCAGGAATGAGGGGCGGAATTTGCAATGATTGAGCGAATGCTTTGGTTGCCAAGAGTGTACTTCCATGTGATGATGATAATGATGATGATAAAGTTGGAAGGGACCTTGAAGGTAATTGGGTCCAATCCCTTGCTCAGGCAGGAAACCCTACACCATTTCGGAGAAATGTTCTAAAAGGATAGGAGAACAATCCAATTGAGGTTTGTTCTTCACTGTGTGGTGGGGTTTGGTCTTCTCCATTTCTTTTTGGCTCTCATCATGGAGCCTATGAAAGGCCACCAAAAGCAGAGTATAGAAGAGGCCAATGGAGGTTTCCTGAGCAAGACAGGAAGAAATCTTCAGTTGGGTCTTCAAACTAGAAAAGATGAAGTTGCAGCCTTTCCTGTTTCCATCCTGTCTCTCTCCTTCCCAGTGGATGAAATGGAGTCACCATTGTTCAGCGAATCAAGCAATTTAAATTTTAAAAAATCCTTTAAAAAAAAAAAAACATTGTTCATATGGTACACTGTTGGAGCAATAAAACCATTTATAAAGTCCTTTTCAGACGGGTTAATGCAATTTGGCACCAGACTGAACTGTACATATAAACATTTGGGAGACATTTTTACTTGTAAACCAAACTTGTACGTATACAGTATATGAAAAAAAAGCTTAAAATTCCTTGCTACATGATTAATGGCCAGTATTTTCAACACAATTAGAGCTAAAATGAATATACGCACATACATTTCCCATTGCTTTGCTTGCATACACCAGCTCTTCACAAAACGTGGAGGCTGATCCCAGACTCACTTTAGATGTTGCTTCTGCCTCAATAAAGCAGCTTGACCAAGCAGAAGTTTTGGAGTAATGAGAGGGGCAATTGTTTAACAGATTTTCTTGAGCGGGACCTTACCTCTCACTAGATAATACCTCTGGAATTAAGAACTCTATTCTGGGACCTATCCAAAATCCAAATACATTTATTCAGCTGCTTCTACAGCAATGGCCTGAAAGGAAGACTGTTCTCCACAATTTCTCACAGATGTTATTCTTTTTACAGTCCCATATCTATAGATGGTTTGATATCCCTCCCGTCCTGTATGCATCCATGATGTGGATCATATTAATACAGGAAATAAGTTGATTTCTTAATTTTCCACCCTCTGGATTCTTTTTTGAGAAGTATACTGTTTTCACCAAAAATCCTTCCGCATTGCAAACATTTCTCTCCTGTGTGGATCCTCTTATGGGAACTAAGGTGTTTTTGTAATCTGAAGCTCTTCCCACATTCTGTGCTCTGATGGAATTTCTTCCGTGTGTGGGAACTAATGTGGTAAGTAAGGAAGCTGCTTGAACTCAAACTCTTCCCACATTCATTGCATACATACAATTTCTCTCCCATGTGGATCCTGTTATGGGAAGTAAGTGCACGGTTCTCACTGACGCTCTTTCCACATTCCAGGCATTTATACAGTTTTCTCCTGTGTGGGTCCTTTTATGGTAAGTCAGATAGCCACTGTCAGGAAAAGTCTTTCCACACTCTGTGCATTTATAAGGTTTTTCACCTGAATGGATCCTTTTGTGGGAGGTCAGTTGATCACTATTTCTGTAGCTCTTGACACACTCAATACACTTATAGGATTTCTCTCCCATATGAATCCTTTTATGGGAAGCAAGGTCACCACTTTGCCTGAAGTTCTTCCCGCACTCTAGGCATTTATAAGGTTTCTCTCCCGTATGGATCACTTTATGCTTAGTAAAAGAAGTGTTAATCCTGAAGGTTTTTCCACAGTCTACTCATTTATATGGTTTTCCACCTGAATGGATTTTTCTATGGCATCTCATGTAACTACTACTGCTGAAGCTCTTCCCACAATGTATGCATTTAAAGGGTTTTTCTCCTGTTTGGATCCGTTTATGTAAGAGAACACTTTACACGGAAACTCTTTCCACACTCCATGCATTTATACCGTTTCTCTCCTGTATGGATCCTTTTATGGGAAGCAAGGACACCACTTTGCCTAAAGCTCTTCCCACACTCTATGCATTTAAAGGGTTTCTCTCCCGCATGGATCAATTTCTGCTTAGTAAAAGAAATGTTTGTCCAGAAGCTTTTTCCACACTCTATGCATTTATACAGGTTTTCCTCTGAATGGATCCTTCTATGGCATATCAGGTAACTACTAGTGCTGAAGCTCTTGCCATGCTCTATGCATTTAAAGAGTTTTTTTCCAGTATGAATCCTTCTATGGGAAGTAAAGGAATTCTTCTCACTGAACCTTTTACCACGGTCCACACATTTATAAGGATTTCTGCATCCTTTTATGGGATTTGAGACACTCACTGTTCCTGAAGGTCTTTGCCCACTCTAGGCACTCATAGAGTTTTTCTCTGGTGTGGATCGATTCTTGGCAAAAAATTTAAAAGCAAGAACAGGTCTTGACATCCGGATGTGGCACACAAATTGTCTCACATATGATGCATCTTAGTTATATTCAATAAGACAACGTATGTCATTGCAGCATGGAGCAAGACAAAATTTGTTCCTGATTAGGACAACTGCAATAAGCAAAAACATCCTCTCCCTCAACATCTTCTGCTCTGCAGTGATGACACAGATCCCAGGATGACCACAAGACCAAATGTCAACCCTTGCCAGAATGACTGGACACCCCACTGATCTCTTTCTTCTCAATGAAATTGTGCTACTTAGAGGACTATGAGCACAGTAAGGCTGTCACTAAAGTGTCTAGTAATACCTTGGTCTGACTTAATTTTCTTCCAGAGGAACCCTTACCTAAAGAGGCCACCATCGCAAACATTTGCAACATGACTTTTCGATGCAGGGCTTTCTGGCTGGGATCCAGCAGCAACCACTCTTCGGTACTGAAATGGACAGCCATCTCCTCAAAGGACAAGACCCTGAACAAGGAAGAATCCCTGTGAGCAGACTCGATAGAATTTGCGAGATCTCCTTTCATCCGCAAATCCAACTAGCACAAAGGGAAAATTCTTCATTGGACATTTCCCTAGCCGGACTCAATGTATTACATGCTAATATAGGCAGAATTCACAGCCTACCCCAGACAGCCAATTAGGGCATGACTGACTCTGCGGACCTTGTGTTATCAACCCGCCTTGATCAAGTGGCAGAGTGTGCCTTAGACACACCATCTACCAATGGCTCCACCATTTCATGATATTTGCAAGAGATTCTGTGGGATTTCCGTCTGACACAGTAACCAAAAGGTCTTTGTGGTTCTTTGAAGGATCAGCCTTGTTCCCAGTCGTGAACATTCATGAAAATACAAGGAAGGCACTTTTGGCCGTCAAGATGCAGATGATACACAAAGTGATTTCTGCTCCTCCTGTTTTTATCGCTTTCCCCAATGATACGAAAACAAGATAATACTTAAATAGGTTTAACCTAACTATTTGTGTGTCCTATCTGCTTTACGTGGGTTAGACAACATGACCTTCCAGGTGGCATTTTTTGAAACCAGAATGATATAACCACTAAGAAATTCCATTTCCAAAATTTAAATGTTGACACATGGGCCTAGTTGACTGATCATGAATTTACATTTCCAATTTCCTGCTCAGGAATAGCAGTATCGTATGTTGCATCCCCAAAGGAAACTAGAGGTCTCCTACTGCTCCCTCATATTAGCTGCTGATCTCTTCCTTCCTACCTGAGTTGGAAATCCAGTGACTCTTGCAGCTCCACCAATAGAACAACACGACTCAGTGACCAACAGTGACTCCATTTTGTCCACTGGGAAGAAGAGAGACAGGATGGAAATAGGAAAGGCTGCAACTTCATCTTTTTTAGCTTGAAGACCCAACTAATCCGTTTCCATCCTCCAAACATCCCATAAAAGCCTGCCTGGACTGACAAATTTGACCCAGATTATTTTTGCTATCCATACATAAAGCCCAGGAGATACATCAATATTTCCCCCAGAAATGAGACTGCAGACTCAAGTCATGGATCAATTGAGCTTCAGTATTGATATAATTTGTAATATTTATGTAATTAAGGTTCATGGGGAAAATGCAGAGGGGGAAAACGACAGTCACTCCCTAGCCTAGAAGGCAGAAATAAATTTTCAAAACATCCTCATCACCTGATTCTTATCAGAACAGAACTGGAAGGGACCTTGGAGGTTTTCTATTCCAGCCTTCTGCTCAAGCAGATCTTATAGCATTTCAGATAAGTGGCTGTCCAGTCTCTTCTTTAAAATCTGCAGTGATGGAGCGCCCATAATTTCTGAAGGCCAGCTGCTCCACTGGTTAATTGTCCTCCCTGTTACGAACATTCTCCCTAATTCCAGATTGCTTCTCTCTTTGATTAGTTTCCCACCCTTGTTTCTTGTCTAGTTTTCTGGTGCTTTGGAAAATAAATCAACCCCCTCTTCTTTGTGGCAGCCCCTCATATACTGGAATACTGGCTATCATGCCCCCCCCCCAGGCCTTTTCTCTAGACTGGACTAGACTTTTCTCTAGACTTTTCAGACTTCAAATTTCCCAGTAGGTCAGGGAAACGGGCTCCCCATGAAGCAGAAGATGTTGCATTTGAAGGAGGAGAAGCATACAGATAGTCCTCTAGAAAGCCAGAGTTGATCATGCACTGGAAGGTTGGAGATAGGTGTCACGGAAAGGTCTTGTGAAAAACAAGTGAGCTGTGTCTAGATGAGACTGCTACATTCTGAATCGGCTAAGAATGGGATTTCCACATCTCAGCAATTGTTGTCTCCCGTAGAGATTGCTTCACTCAGGGCCCATCTGTGTTCTCTTTGGGACAACCTAGTTCCAAAGTCCCCTCCAGTTGTAGCTGCACACAACACACACACACAGACACAGACACACAAACACACGAACTTTCTCATTTTCTGTTCCAAAGGCTTTCTTCAACAGGGAGAAATCACAAGAGATTCTGCTCAGAGACAAATGACTCAAGAGAAGAGCGGATTCTTATTGGCGCAACGTATTTCTGGCAGGCCAACTCCAAAGCATCCCTGTTAAGACCCCCTGCCAATTTCATTTCTCCCCTTCCTCTCTTGGGAGGGGGCTTGCGGGAAGCCTTCATGGGCTCTGCTGGGGTCACCGTTGCTGTTGGTGGGTCAGCTGGCAAGGATCCCTCGAAGAGAAAGGGGGAAGGAGAACCCCCCCAGAAGGGGGCTAGGACCTCGAGAAGACGCGTTGGGGGAAAGGCTGCGGGGCAAGGGAGACGGGACGTTGCAAGGCTCCTCCCTTCCCCCCGCCTCCCTTCTGGCCACGCCCCTCCCAGTGCGGTTCCCTCAGGCGGCGAGGCGGGAAAAGCCGTTGAAAGAAAGAAGGACGCGGCTCTGAGGGAAGCGTCGCCATCGGGCTTCTTCGGGGCTCCTGAGAGACGGCCTCAACTTCTTTTTCTCAGTCAAACTCTGGATGAGGCCTCCTTCTGGGCCCCTCCTCTCCCTCAGGGGCTCCTCCACCCCCACACAACGTCGTCCCCAGGAGCCCCTTTCTAGCCCCCTCAAGGATCTTGGCCCATCACATCCAAATGCATTGAACTGCCCCTGATTCAGGTAGCCCCCAACCGAGAAAAAGCAGGGCCACGCTTGGGGGGACAGCCCCATTGAGGCTGGGGGGGGGGGGGAGAAGAGGACTGGGACCTCCCCCCCGCGGAGATGTTGGGGAAAAGGCTGCAGGGCAAGGGAGACGGGACCTTGCAAGGCTCCTCCCCCATTTTCCTTCTGGCCACGCCCCTCCCCGTGCGATTCGCTCAGGCGGCGAGATGGGAAAAGGCGGGAAAGGCCGTTGAGAGGAAGATGCGGTCCTGAGGGAAGAGCTGCCATCGGGCTTCTTTGGAGCTTTTCAGAGATGGCTTCGACTTCTTTTTTTCGGTCAGACTCTGGATGAGGCCTCCTTTGGGGCCACTCTTCTGCTTCGAGGCTCTTAGGGGCCCATCATGCCCAAACACATCGAGGTGTCTCCAATTTAATGCATAGAGTGTGGGAAGCAGGAAAAGGTAGGAAAAAGTTCCAAGAGACGTGGGAGGAGCCTCTGTTGGCAGGGAGAGGGGAGAGAGAGAGACACACACACGGCTCTGAGGGAAGCACCGCCATCGGGGCTCTGTGGGGTTCCTCAGGACTCGACTCTTCCTTTCTCTTGGCCTGACTCCGAATTAGGCCTCCTCCATCCCCTCTTCTCCCTCAGGGGCCCCCTCCACCCGCACACAGCAAAAGGCTTCTCTGGTTCCCCTCTGAGTTCTCAGATATAAAGAAAGATAAAATTGGCCAAAGCACCATCAGTGCTGCATGGATTATTTCCACAGATGTCAAATTACATAATTTAGGAAAATTCTGGAAAAAAAACCCTCGCATTGTGAGGAACGTAATGAATCTTCCTACATTTTTAGAGGCACTGCTTTCTCCCCTTTGTTGCTTCATTTATAGGTTCATCTGCCTTGGTGCTGTTTTTCTCATATTCCATGGATTTCTATACATTCACCATCTGTGGAGTGGGAATCCTTTGATACTGAGTTTGATGTGAATTCCTTCTACCACTTTCTAGCACTTTCTGTCTATTCCATTTCTCTCCACTCACTGAAGCTTCTCCCACATATTCATTTGTTTTTTTTTCTGGGCAGTGACCCCCAACCTGTTGGGCACCAGGAACGGGTTCCATGGGGAGGTTTTTCTGTGGACCAGAGGGGTCATAGTTTTGTATGCTACCTGCATTCTGCAGATGGGGTTTCACTTCTTTGTGTGGCCTGGTTTCTGGCATGCCGTGACCCAGTGCAGGTCCACGGAGGTTGGGAACCCCTGATGTAGAGGCATCATCTGTATTGTGCAACAACTCTTTCCCATAATTTATTATAATAACCCTCCAAAATGAGAAATACAGTTAATCAGAACATACAGAAACATTTTTTAAAAGCTATAGTAAGGTAAAAAACACAGTCACAATCACACCAACACAAGATATCTCCAATTGGCAGTGCCACGGTCCTCTAAAATTTCAAATAGGATTGACCTTTCTGATTACTTTGATATCACCAAATATACAGTGGTACCAAAGTGATATTGAAATCCTTGACAAATTCAGTGGTCTGGAAATGTAACAAATCCAGAAAGGATTCTTTTTGATATGAATGATATATATATTTAATAATAAGGTTAGAAAATATGATCCTGGTTAGAAGACACTGAGTAATTTAAATCAAGCTGTTTAGTTCCCTTCTTAAAAAAATATTGTTCATATGAGTACACTGTTGGATTCATAAAAACATTTTTAAAGTAATCCCAAAGGTGTTTTTTCAAGAGGCAACTGGACTTTGTTTTTTCTTTGAAGATATTTCACTTCTCATCCAAGAAACTTCATCTACTCTAAGTTCCTTGGATGAGAAGCGGAACATCTTCAAAGAAAAAAAAAAGAAAGCCCAGTTGCCTCTTGAAAAAGCATTTTGGGACAACCATGACCTGGATGTCCATAAACATTTTTAAAGTAAAGAGGCAATAGCTGGCAATCATAAACTCGCTGGCCACACTTCTCTTTACAGCAGGATTAATGTGATTTTGCAACCAGAAACATACTCAACCAAACGGGCATGTACATATAAATACCTGGAAAAGATGTTTCACAGATAAACCACAACTAATGTACATCATGATACATAAAAAACAAAGAACTAAGAGCTTAAATACTTGGCTATATATTGAAGGAAGGCGGGTATTTACAATTAGAGCTAAAGTACACATACACGTACAAACATACATTTCCCCCTGCTTTGCTTACATATGTAGCTCTCCACAAAGCCTGCAGCCTGATCCCAGAACAACTTAAGATGTTGCTTCTACCTAAATAAAGCAAACTGACCAGGCACAGGTCTTGACAAATACTGGCATAATAATAAGCAGGA